TGCTGTATATCAACTCAGAATAGGTAATAATAGGCAAGATTAATTGAAGCGAAAGCTTTTGTTTAATAAGAGTTGGAGTACATAGTGCGGACTGCCTTAAATTTCTTAGAGTACTATATAACACAGTAATAAACCTTTTTGAGTACTCCTCGGGGGTAAAATCTGATTAGGGTTGATAATGAGAAGGACCATGAATTTTGCCGATTCAGAGTTGCACACAAATTTACTGTGGTATGAAAGGGAGCAACAACCGTACTATGGCAGAGTGCCACAGGTAATTTTGTAAAAAAAAAAACACTTCTTATAATTATAGAGATAATTGCTATTTATTTTGCAATATTCCGATATCCAGCGTGTAGCCAGAGGCAGTGGCATGTGAGACTCACTAAAATGTACTCATCATGTTGGAGCAGCTCCGGGTAATGGATCATTGAATGTGCTGGCTGAATTTATGACCACCATAACCTTCGGAGTCTCCAAGTAAATGCGTGTCCTGAGTTTATACGGAAGCCATTCATAGCAATTACTATTGTATATGTGTATGATTCATACTTGTGACATTAGGTGTGTACTCGTATTGAGAGGACAAAATTCTCCAGCAGCAAAAGTTCTGAGAATTTAGCAGCATTCGCTCTTAAAGAGACGAAATAGCAACAGAAGTACGAGAACGCAAAAATGAATAAGTTATTTTTCTCATAATTATTTGTGATATCACATAGTGAGGCATTCAAAAACAAGAGTATCACCTACAAACACCCATCATTAATCAAAAAAAAATGTAATAGATATAGCTACAGATGTAGCTTTAAAATTATAAAATTTTCATTTCAACAATCAACCTACCAAAACCGAAAACTTCAGCAAAAAAACATTTCAGCATGCTACATTTAAATCTATTTAGGTATATTTAAAGGAAAATTATGGTACAAACGAAAAATGTCATATGGCAACCATAGTCAGCACACACTAAAGTAAACAAACTGGAGATTAATAGCAAATTAACGAAAAACAAACTCAACAATTTACTCACTTTTTCGTTGTATACTAGCATTAATAATAAAATTTGCAATAAATAACTCATAAAGGCCATATTTTCTTTTGTTTATTTACAAACATGTGTTTGTGATCAGCTGATTTTCTTACTTGCAAGTTTTAGCTGGGAAAAATTTGCAGCTCTCTTTCACATTTTGCTCTCTCAATTTCCCCTACTTTGCAAGTTTTTTGGGTACGAGAACGCAAAACCAGTAAAAGTTTTCTAAAACTTTAGATAGTTGGGCGTGCGAGTAAACTCCTATTCTATACTATGATGTTGAGTATTTTTGGGGAGCTCCGGGTAATGGTCGCTCAAACTTGGGTGTGCTTGTTTTGTTTTGGAATAAAGACTTAAATATATTCGGAAATTTAGAGTTTTCCTTGATAAATTCAAAAAATTCACGTTTTTCATAAAAATATAATCTTACAATGGATACCCTACAAGACGGGATTGACAGAAACTCCAACACATTCACAACGAAAACTAACACATATGCAAAATTGTATATGCCAGTTTGGCTCCGTAGGGAATGACTGTCATTTGATCGATCAAGTGAGTGTCAATGCTGATAGAAGTAACGGTAATTTTGAACTTAATTAGTTTAATTTTAATTTTATCATTATTCGACTCCGCTCATAGCAAAAGTAAGTAAAAATAAAAGTTTTCATTGTGGTATGACATTCTTTTTATATATAAACGTAATAAATAAAACCGTATTATAAAGTACTTGGTACTGAAGAAGTTCAAATGCGCACATCAACAGAAAAAAGAAAGACGCAAAACGAAAACATGCTCAAAACTTAAAGTGCTGTGGAAAAATAAAGATATGTTTTATGAAATATTTCATTTGAAATGAATAAAAGAGCTTTTAATACCGCCATGAGCAAGAAAAACGGATTTACGAATCCAATATTAAAAAATTGCATCGCATCGCCAGTTCTCTACCACTGCAGTCCTATTGCGCTGTGGATTTAATAGAAACAAAATTAAAAGAGCCAGAGTATGCACAAGCCAAGATAATGAATTATATTATGGAATACATATTTCACGTTCTAATTGCTGTACATAAATTTTTCAAAGGTCAATTACATATATCAAAAATAAAAGGTGCACACTGAGAAAAAGGATTAGTTTCGACAACTAAAGATATTTAGTTCCCGAATTTTGACAATATTTGGGAACTGTGACCAAGGATTGGGAACTATTACCATGGGTTGGTAATTATAACTAAATATATTAAAGCTTCTAATATTCATCTAGGTTGTACCAAATCGTTGATTTAGTTGAAGGGTTTGGTAAATACTAATAAATATTTTTTTGAAGCATATTTCTACAAATTCCATTCAACTTAAAGTATGGTTCATAAAAGGATGCCATTAGGCTCTGCTAATACAGATAAGCTTTCTTTCAACACATGGATTAGTCATAGTTACCAAATCTTAGTTGATCGATTTGGTTTGAGAGCGGAATATATTCATGCTTATGAGCACCCCCTAAATAATGATCAGCGCTCTCTGAGCTCATGTGTGTTTCACATCCGAAGAGCGCCAGCTAAGCAATGCACACAGTCCCACTTATTGAATCGTTTGAATGCGCTAGTATGCCGACCATTGCATAAAAACGATTCAATGAATGAGACTGTGTGCGTGGAAATCATTGCTCCGCTACCGCTGTTCGTATACGGGTGAAACACGCGTGTGGTTACAGAGCGCTCAGTAAGCTATGGCATGTCGATCACTGCGCTGGGTAGAGAAAGAAAAGTGTGTGCTATGACATGCCCAGGCTTGTTTGTCTCAGTTGCAGTTTTGCAATCGCCGCGAGTTGTTTCGGTGCGGGTATGGTTATTTAAAAATATAAAGTTTGATGCCAACCGAAGTTTCTCAGTGGATATATAATTCATGTGAATTATAATTAGAAAGTATCTATTTAGCCAAGGAAAAAGCAAAGCAGTATACTTAAACCAGCACTTCCAGCAGATATTGACCTGGGTTTTCGCACGACGATTCCTGTTTAATCGTTTCTTTTTAGGAAATTCTTACCACCATATACATATGTATTATTTACACTAGTAACTATTTATGTAAATATGTTTGTATTTTTTATGCTTAATAAAAGAAGTAAACACAACAACCATCGAGTAAATTTTTATTTGTGTCAAACTGAAACTTTTTTTCCAATAATAAACGGTTAGCTGATTCACGACTACAGCAAGTTCCTAAAATTAATTGAAAACTTGTATCAACCAAAGCATTGTTTATATTTGCTCAACAATGATTTTATTCAACTAACAATATTGTCCACTCAAGGTAGTCGTTTTGTAATTATTAACAAATATACATTTGTCCCAACTAGAAGGCTCAAGTAAATTGCACACTTTCGTGAACTAGATATTTATTTCGCCATATCCAACTATGCCACTTGGTCACTATAACCAAATCTTGGTTATTATA